AGAATCAGCACTTACAGTAGTGTTGGATGGAGATGAATGACTAGTCACTGTTGCTTGAGGTGGAGGAGATAAGCAATGGGCGAACTAGATGCTTCCAAAAATACGTCTAAAGAGGCTAAAATGGAGAATCACCTGTAGATCCAAAGTTATGAAGAATAGAAATGGATGGTGCAGGCAATTTATAAATATGTTCAAAGAATGAAAGATTCTCAACAAAGATGACATTGCGAGAAATGCGCAACCGACAGACTTTGGGATCATAACAAAGAAACCCCTTGTGTTTCGTACTATATCCCATGAAAGCACACATAACTGATTGAGCTATTAGCTTGGTGCTTCATGGGGAGGGAGATGGACGAAACAAACACATCCGAAGACACGAAGTATGGATAGGTTTGAAGGGTGATAAAATAAGGATTGATGGGGAGAAGAATTTTCAAGAATAGGTGTAGGAAGACTATTGATGAGGTGAACAGTATTGCAAGTCGCCCCCACCCAGAAGGTAAGGGGAGCATGAGAGTCTTGTATCAAGGATCTCACCATACTAGCAATGTGTCGGTTCTTGCGCTCCGATACTCCATTCTATTGAGGAGTACTGGGACAAGATCTCTAGGACTGAATACCATGTTGTTTAAGATAGGTTTGAAACACACCAACCTCACCATCATAGTACTCTCCCCCTAAATCTGACCTCAAAATATTTATGGTGCTTTTAAACTGGGTCATTACCATGCATGAAAGTTCTTAAACATGGAGAAGACTTCTAATTTCTTTCGAAGAAAATAAACCAATGTGTAACGAGTACAGTCATCAATGAATAACACAAAGTACTTATAACCCAAACATGAAATAACTGGAGACAACCACACATCACCATGAATGTGATAAAAAGGTGTAGATGCATGTTCAATAGAAGATGGAAAAGGTAAAACATGACTTTTACCATAGCAGCAAGTTAAACAAGATTTATCAACATTTTTAACTGAAGAAGTATGCATAGGCAAGCAACCAGAGCAAAATAAATAATCCAAATTTTTAGCAATGAGTGTGACCCAAACTCTATGCCATAAGTGCCACACATTATTATAGGAAGAAATAGAAGAACTAGGTATAATGAATAGAAAACAAGAATCCAATGAAAATATCTTAGTCTAGAATTCTAAAGCAAACAGCCTCCCAAGCCTACGCCCCTTCCCCTTCAGCTCCCCAATGTGTTGGTCCTGAATAAAACAACCATCACGAGTAAATAAGACATTATTACCATCATCAACAAGTTGCCCAACAGAGATTAGACTAGTAGTCGGTTTAGGCACAAAGAAAGTTTTGGGAAGATGTAAGGATTTGGTCTTAGTAGTGGATAAAGATAAACCATTACAACCATATATAGGTAAAGAATCACCATTAGCAGTAATAATATGGTTACCAAAGGTGCGAGGTTTAGGAGACTGACCGAAGGAGGCCTTAGTCATGTGATTTGAGGCCCCGGAATCAATAATCCACATGTGACAAGGAGATGAACACAAAAAAGCAGACTTACCAGCCAGTCCAAAAGCAGAAAAAACTGAAGAAATAGCTGAAGACATGAGCTCACGAATCTTTTCTTCAGTCAGATTTCCCTGAGCATCTGGCTTGTGAGCTGATGATGAGGCGATAGTATCAGTAGAAACAGATTCAGTTGAGGCTTGATAAGCCTTATGTTGTCCTTTATTGGGGGGCCTAGTCAGGCATTCTGCTATAATGTGTCCTTCCTGTTTGCAATAGGTGCAAAAGTTTTTCTTCTTGTAGTGGGATGCCACGTGACCGTATTCTTTGCATTCATAACACTACAACTTCGAGAAGTCTTTCTTACCCTTCTGTTTGGTAGCCAAAAACACTGTATCAATCCCATGTTCCTTCTTCTGATCTAGTGCAGACAAAGTAAGAAGACGAGTTTCCTCCCTTAACAACTATCCAAGGATTGCATCAAGTTCAGGCACTGGTTCTCTATTGAGAATACTGGAGTGTAGAGTTTCATAATCAGGCCTGAGGTGCATCAAAAAGTGCATGGTCTTTCTCTTATTGCGATGCTTCTTCATAGTATTCACACAATAGTCTATAGACAGATCCCCAAAGTGAGCCAATTCGTATTTAGTCTAGAGATTTACAAATCCTGCATAGTATTCCTGAATCCGCTTCTCCCCTTGAACATAGAAGATATCAATTTCAATCTGATATTGCCTAGACATATTCGATTGCTGATATACCTTTTCAAGGTATTCGAACATGTCATGGGCAGATTTGAGACCTCTCATTGGAATACTGACATCCATTGGGATAGACCCAAGTAACCATGAAGTAACCTGAGCATTCTCAGTTCTCCATTGTTTCAGCCCTTTGACATCACTGGTGCCAGGCATGGAAGTAGAACTATCAATGTAATCCCACATGCTTTTCCCTTCAACAAAATACTGGAAATGAAACTTCCAGAGAGCACAATAGCTCCCATCGAACTTAACAGAAATAAATTTATTCTTTTCCAGAGCCATAATGAAAAGGAAACAAAGTAAAGACTGATCAAAACAAGCAATAAAGTAGTAATCAAACTATGAGTCAAAAAAACTGATAATAGAAACCTCTTACAATCACCAAAAAATTGTCCAAGTTCCAACAAATGGAGAAAACTTGATACACAATCCAGAAAAGGAAAGTCTGGATGCAGCCGCCCAGAAGAGATGTATCTCTCAAAACTTCTCAGATCTCGATGAAAAATTCAAAATATGGTGAGAGGCCCTAGGTGACACTTCCTTTCAATTCTTATTGCAAACTGATGTCATACGAGAGAAATCTAATGAAATCTCTCTCCCTAGATGCGCAAAACATAGAGAACAGTTCTATGGAGAGATCGAAACAATCCAGAGTCAATTGACTGATTAAAGTTCTCAAACTGATAAAAAAGGAGATAAGGATCAAAAAGCTGCCTGCTCTGATACCATGTCAATCCGTTAGAAGGTGAAAGAGCAAGAGATGCGGCAGAGGTTCAGATCTGTTAGGGTTGATCAATCTAATCGAACCAACCCAGAAAAGAGATATTTATATTAATCTGAGGTAAATAGACAAGATTGTCCATACAAAGAGAACTAAAGAGTTGTACACTAAAGTACACGCCTATTACAGTACAAGAAAGAATAATAAAGTACAATAGAATTACAAAACTACCCTTCAGTTCTTCTACAGTTATAGCCACCTTAGTGAGGGCATTATTGTCATTGTATAAACTTTTAGTTTTTAATATAAATAATAGTGAGTGGGGTGGCCATAATACTTTTGGCACCCCTTTTCCAAACTTCTCTTTTCTTTCTCTTCCCTAAAAACTTTCTACACCCTTTTTGTCTTGTTTCTCTTATTTAGGGATGGCAATTTTCCCCATAAAACCTGGGACCCACCCCGAATGGGACCGGTTTTCTCCAATCTTAAAGGGGAAAGGGCAGGGCAGGGAAAATATTTTTGCCCTGAACCAAAGATGGGACAAGGATGGGGTTTGCATATAATTCCCCAAACCTGATGGAAAATTAATAAAATATCCCTAGATTTAATATTGATTTTTAAAATATCTCCAAGTTTTCCCCAAATTCTTAAAATGCTAGGATCCCATAATTCTATTTCTAAAGCACCTCCAAATTGTCATAATTCAATTCATAAAATATCCCAAATTCCCATAATCTTATTTGTAAAATATCCAATGATTAGATTATTTTTAGGTGGTTGCCTTGAGACGGGGAAAATTTGAGGATTCCTCGTCCTGGTGCCCCATCCCGAACCTACCAAGGATGGGGTAGGGATAGAGAGGGGTGCCCTGCCAGAACCCTATTGCCATTTCCACTCTCCATTTTTCTTTATCTCTAATTTCTACTATTCTCGCATGCAAGTTGTTAATAGAATCCTGCACTACTTGAAAGGATGGCCTGGTAAAAGAATGTTGTACTCCAACAATGGACATCTAAAAGTTGAGACCTACACAAATGTAGACTAGGTCGGGTTTGTTGATGATAGAAGATTTTCATTTGGTTACTGTGCCTTAATTGGAGGCAATGTTGTTTCATGGAAAAGCAAGAAACAATCAGTTGTCGCTTGATCTAGTGATGAGGCAAAATACAAGCTCCAAGTTTTATTATACCAATCAATTGGTTATAAGTTTTTCCAGTATGGTGTCTTTCAGGTATCATAGTCAAACCCATATTATAAATATCATAAAGTCAAAAAAAATATAAAAATAATGCCTTATACACAAATATGTAGCTGCTTAGGCAAGGCAACTCTCTAAAGGCACCTGCCTAGGTGCTGCCTTGAGAACCTCTCTCTCTAAGGTCATATGGTTTCCCCTAAAAATTACTGTTCGCACCAACCAATGGGAACAGTCTTCTCAATTTTATAATTGAAATATCTTTCATAATTCAGATCTTTAATTCCTCTTACCCCCCACCTACACCCTAGTAGGGTGTTTCCTCCCTGTCCTACATAACATCTTCTCCAATTGCTGGTCTTATCAATCAAAGTTGTGCCTTAAAAGTGATGAACCCATTTTATAGATAAGTACCTAATTAGCTCTATGCAAACTAATGTAGATTGATACAGGCTCAACTCCCTAATTGCCTTTCGGTTATCAACTCCCCCTTCTCCCCCTTTTCCCCCTTTTCATTTTTAACCATAACTAAAACTGCAACAAAATCCAAGTTCCCCACCACCAAATGCCAAAACCCTTCTACAACTTTTCATAAGAAAAAAGATGGTCTACCCCAAAATGTCCTCAATCACAACTACTTCACCTTCAAGGAATTAAAGGTCTACAACTGAATGGCTAATAGCATGTTACAACAGTTCAGTAATACCTAAAAAGTAGAATAATGTTAAAAAGAAAAACTTACTACTGCCAAAGAATTGCAAAAATAAAATTCATGTCATACTCAAACCATTTTGGTATGAAAATATTTTCAACAACTGAGAATATGCTGAGTGGCACATACCTACAGTAGGATGAATTTCCTTCAGAGCAGAACACTGATGTGGTTCAGAAGAACACTCAGCCTGTACAGTTTCTTTCACTGGAGGACTTGGCTTTAGATTAGATCCATGAATTTCACCAAGGCCATCAACTTCATTGTCATCACTGCAATGTATGGAACCAAACAAATAAAATTGTGAAGAGATAGGCATGTTTGTTGGAGGGAGAGAGAGAGAGAGAGAGAGAGAGATGGACTGAACTTTAATACCACTTAATGCCAAGAAAACCACACCAATGCAAGAATAATTAGGCATGTTTGTTTGAGAACTGGACTATTGACAAAACCAAGACATTAATGGACTTCAAAACCTACCAAGTGTCAACAGATTCCATTATCTTAATCCCACTTTCCTAGACCTGGTTATTTTGACACAATAAATTTTATTAATGAAAACAATTCATATGACCTCAAAACTCTCAACTTACCCTTTGTTAAAAGAATAAAATAACAGTCATGCTCTAACAATTAAATTCTACCTTCAAAACCTTTCTCGGTGTTTTAAAAGTGCAAGACACAAAAAAAGCGCAAGGGCCAATTTGCACCTAAGGCACAAGGTGAAGCATGCGCCTTTTTGAAGCAAGGTGCAAAATTACAAAAAATGCTAAAAAATAAAAAAAAAATGTTAGAAAATTTAAAAAATACCAAAAAAGGCAAAAAATTCAAAAAATATTAGACATAATGTTAATAAAAAATATAACCTTAAATTTTAAAATAAATGTTTTAAAAAAACCTATTATCTAAAATTAAAATACATAAACATACCATGTAAAGCATATTCAAATGCAAATTTAAAAATAAAAGCAAACATATAAAGCATTTTCAAGCATGTAAACCCACACCCTTTTTTTCCTCAATTGCATTACTTCAAATAGCTAATGTGATGTAAAACATATTGCATTCTTGATTCTATGAGTAACCTTTGTACCACACCCCTCGAGGCAGGCCCGAACAATTCCATGTTAGGGTCTTAAATTCTTATTTCTCACATAAAAGACAATGATTTTATAACTTTGATTGCCTTTTAAGAAGATATTTTATTAGAATGAATGAATAAACATTAGAAAATAGGGGGTTCTTGGAGGAAAAAGCGCAGAATTTTAAAAAGGCGCACACCTGGGCTGAGGCACAAGGTGCATCAGGCACACGCCTAGGTACACCAGGGTTTGCGCCTAGGACCTAGGTGAGGTGCATACCCTAAAATGCGCCTTGCCTATGTACCTAGGCACACCTTTTAAATCACTGCTTTTACTGATCTGAAATTCTAGAGATGTTAGTTTAATAAAACCACAATCATACCCAAAATTCTGATCAATCCAATTAGACAAGATAGAGTTTCCAATATTCTGCAGCTGTAGTTGACTTGGAATCAGTCAAAACCACCACTTTCTTCTAACAATATTTGCATCTTGAGTCTTAGAAATAACCTTTTAAATAGTCCAGCAATGGTCCATGAAAATGCAAAACAAAAGCTTCATCATCAGCATCATCTAAGCTCTGTCTCAAATATATGGGTTGGCTACATGAATCATATCCCAGTGTCCCGTTCTATTCAGTGCCATTATTGAAAATTTATAGCATCAATGTCAGTATCAACATCAATCTCCTTCATTATCTGGTTGTTTTGATAGGATCAAATAGATAGTTGATTTTCCAAAAGGTACCGGAAGCCAGAAAAACCTGATCCAGATTTTGCTATTTGATCAGGAATTCAGGACATAGTAGGGTGGTATCCATTTGCTTCTTGGGATACAATATAAAAGTATTTTTACTGGTATTTCAGTTAACTGAGAACAGTAACCTGTAAAGCACATTATTTTGATTAATGTGATATCTGAAAAATATGACATACTATGTATGATTTGATGTGTGATCACAAGGTTCTGGAGATCTTTTCTCTGGAATGTTTTGGTGAACTTTGGCACTACACACACACGTACAGCGTTTTGAACTGTATGATCAGTTAAAGATGTTTTCTCAGGCCTAATCCATTATGTAAGAAGGTATTTTAAAGTATGTTTTTGCAATTGTTCTCTGTTAAGTACACTAATTCTGATCTGGTCGGGCATCACGGGCTTTTCATTAAGCTGAATTTGACATTTTGACTTGGGTGTCAATTGAGATAAAAACTGAGCTGTTATCAGATTCCATCTGATCTTTTCGTATTGATCTGTTAGTCAGCTATCATGTTTCATATCTTAATTCATTCAGTCCAAGAGGGTCTATTTTGGTAGCCACCTTATTATTTCCATTATTATCCATTATTATAGCATCTCTTGATGCATTTTTTGGTGTAACAGACAGAACCAAAGTGATTGAGTTCCTTCATCTCCTGCCAGCCAGTGCTCATAGTCTGCTTCTGCATATGATTGGAAAACTCAAGATTCACCATCTTGACTTTTAGGGGGGAGTGTAGAGGTACATATTGAGCTATAGATTGGTCAGGTGCAAAGATATAGGTCCATTACATGTTGGTATATGGATATATTATTGTATGATTTGGTGAAACAGGGATATGACTGAGGGTTCTTTTATACTCTTCCTTTATTTATCTATTTCTTTTGGATAAGCAACTTCAATTTTATTAGAGAAATCAATATATGCAGCAATACAAGCATCCCAAGAGAAGTGTGAGACTCACCTCCAATACTTGGAAAAACACAAAAAGAATTACAGCTGAGCCCAATATAATTGATCCCTATTGGATCCTTTCTTAGCTAGAGAATCATTCATCCCATTAGCTGACCTCCTTCCTGTTGTACACTCACAGTCAAATTATTGGTTAACAAATTTAAAGAAGAAGAAGAAGAAGAAGAAGGTGGCGCAAGTATTAATTTTTAACATATAAATAATATTTTTAGGTTTAACTGTACAAACCATGACCCATAGAATGGGTTGGATGATTCAGCATTTTAATATTCCAGGATGAATTGGTTTTGACCAAGTCAATAAGCTTTTTTGTTTTTTTTTTTGGTATTGATAGATTTTGGAGTTGAACCTGACTGTTTTGGCCTCCAGGTGACAGATTCAACAATTCGACTGTCCGGCTTAACAACAGGTTTAAAACATTGAAATAAAACATGTTAGCATGTTTCTTCTTCTTATTTTACTTCTTTTTATGGTTTATTTTCAATTTTCTTCTCATTAGGTTATCACAAAGAAAATCAGGGCCTCACAAAGGGAAGATAAGTGAACTACTCAATTACATCAAATATAGGGAAGAAATTTGGACAAGAAGAAAGACCCCAAAGGGGGAAAAACAAAACAGAGAAAAGCAAAAGGATATGAATACAGAAATTTTGAACCCATACAACTCGTCCTGACTATTACCACCTAGACATCCAGTGGAATTAGGCATATGATCTGGCAACAAGAGATCAAAGCCTCTCTGATTAGGAAGTAATTTTGGGGGATTAAATGTCTTGTGTTCCAGGGAGATAAAGGTGGTGTTTTTTCTATGTTATGGGGTGATTAGCTGTGGCTAACTACTATATTTTGGGGTTTCAGATGTATTATTACCAATATTATATAAAACAAAATATTTCTCTTACCTATCAAAAGGAAGTTATGGAGGATCCATGGTTCAACCCCTTCCCTTATCAGTCCTATGCACTAGTTGATTTCTTTTCATTCTTTTCCTCTATATTTTCCGTTTTAGTTTTTGGATTAGATACGAAATTATAGCAGAAGATTTGTTTTATTGCAACTCCATATAAGACAGTTGTCCCTTTTATTTACAACGTTACAATCCCCTCATATACCACCCAAAAGAGGGGAAAAAAGTTATGGTTGCATACATTCCAATTGCAAGGAACAATCCAGGATCAAGTCTATGTTGCTCAGATACAACAAGGCTGGACAAAGTGATGGACATGGAGTTTATGCTAAAAATTCAAGTATCCGACATCATACAGCATCCTGTATAGGTATCCAAGTATCATAGGTTCAGGAAATCTAGGTTAATAGAAATTAGAACTAACCATTTCAATGAAGGCTTCATATCTGCAGAGGAATGGACTTCTACTACAGAGTTCAATGCTCCTACTGAGGAATCCTGTGGACCTAATGTAGAAGGTTCATCATAAAAACAAATCATAGCTATAGTAAGAGAATTCTAAAGAACAAGAAAACAGAAAAAGCACCAACAACTCAAAGAACAAGAAATCTTGTGATGCACTTTAACAGCATAGAATATTACCATCATGTTGCACAAGAATGGGATGTGGAACTTCCTTGTTATTCTGTGCATCTTCTATATCCTTCATAAGTAAGATGATTTCAATTAGTTGCAGATTAAGGTCAAGTTCTGTATGTTCAGAATTTGGAAAATCATTTTCTTCAATTGATATCAACCCACTAGAACAACATTAAGAAACAGCTCTAATCTAGTTCTAGATACCTTATTATTGTTGCAAATGTGGATATCCAGACTAGTCGACAAAGAATTATTTACTGGCCCATCACATAAAGTTTCTAAAACCAAGTTAGCTGATGATGTTCCATGCTTCAAATTGTCTGCATATAGGATGCCTTCACATTAAAAGAATATTGCAAACAGGTTGTTGCGTATATTTCCACAACATAAATATATGTAAAGAATTTTGAGTAGACAGGAAAAGCATCAAACCTGGACAGACATCACTACTAGCCAATCCTACATGCAAGTTAACAGGTGAGTCTACACATTTTGTGGCTGACAAAGAATATGAGACCTGGATTTTATCAGCCCCTTCTGCATTGCTTTCATGAGCTTCAGATGAAGCTTGGCCACCAATATGTTCTATAGCTTCAGCAGACAGATCAATTTTCTTGGGCTCAAGAGGTCCTAAAATATTTTGTCTTGCCTTAAAACGCACTCTTCGTATTTCATCCAGAAGATCCCATGAGCCAGTAGCAAGAGAATTCCTTTTCTGTTGGCCAAACCCAAGTGAAAAACAAAGAAAAAGGTAAATGGAACATCAGAAGGAATTTGAAAATAATATAACCAGCACCTAGTACATGTATCCCTTTTGTCAGGATATAATTAGTCATAATTGTTCACACCATGTTCAAAGGTCTAGCATATCACTGGAAGTTGATAATAAATCGGTTTGGTTACTTTAAAAATCATGTTTGTCCAAGCAACCCAAAGTTCCTCTAAGAGACTCAAAACCAATGTAATTCTTTTTTATTCTGACCTGCTAAAAATCCTAGATGAGGTGGATATTGACCCATCTAGGAGGGACAGTAGGATTTGGGTCCCTTCTCCTTTGGGTGTATTCTCATGTTCCTCTTTCTTCAAAGAACTGGCTCATTCCCCACCTGTTTTTGGACTCCCTTTTCCAGTTTTGGAAGTTTGGGGTAGACCAATTCCTCCCAGAATTAGTGCTTTTTGTTGGGAAGCTTTCCTTGAAAAGTTTAACACTTGCAAAGAAAAAGGCCTAATTGGTGTTTCTCCCCACACTGGTGCATCCTTTGTAAGAATAATGGTGAGAATTGTTATCACTTACTGGTTTCCTGCCCATTTGTTTCAGAGATCTGGTGTTGGTTTTTTTATCTTTTTGGTTGCAGGTGGACCCCCCCCCCCCCAAATGTACAAAGCCTATTCCATTCTACTACTGTTAGGGGGCTGAAGAAGAGAGGGAAAATTCTGTGGAGATGTGTAAAAGCAGCTGTATGTTGGACAGACTGGGAGGAAAGGAATCAATGGACCTTTCATGAGAAAGAAAGAAATAAGAGTGTAATCATTGAACTAATTTCCATAAGGGTGGTTCATTGGGTTAAGACTTTGCAACTTTTTGAAAACTATTCAGAAGGAGATATTATCAGAAGGTGGAAAGAAGTGGCTTGGTCAGCTCCAAGGAAGACTATACAGTTTGGTCTCTCCAGCTTCGGGGTTCACTAAACTAAGCTTTGATGGCAGTAGCAAAGGAAATCCAGGCCCGTCGGGTATAGGGGGAGCTTTCAGGGATGGTGAAGGTCGAATTATTGCATTGTATTTTGGTTCTATTGGATGGGGGGATTCTCTTAGAGCTGAAATATTAGCTGTTTTGGAAGGGTTAAAAAGAGCTCAAGAGTTAAATATCAGAAAACTGATAGTGGAAGGTGATTCTACATTGGCTGTAAACTGGCTAATGAAGGATGATTCTAGTTTGTGGAAGTTTCTAAATGAGAAGAAGAAAGACATCTCACTCAAAACATGGAAATCAAGTTTCAATGGACTAAGAGGTGTGCCAATTCCTTGGAAGATTCAATGGCCAAACAAGGGTTGGGAAGAGTCAATTTTTTCTGGGCAATATTGTAATCTGAACTGTATTCTTGGGAGGATTAAGAATTTTTAGCCCTCCTTTTGTATCATTCTTTATTAATATCTATTAATAAAAGTCTTTGTTATTTATCCAAAAATAATGTTCTTTTGATGACCCCAAATAAGTAAAGAGGCCTTCATTTAGGTGGCATTTTATTCTCCCTGTGCTTTGGTTGGGCCTGAAAGGCATACGCTTTTACAATGACTCATCTCACCCTTGGTAAGGAATGGTAAGTGCATCTAGCAGTGCTTTTGCACAAGGTGCACATTCATTTACTTTTGACAATATTGTTCAAGGTTGGATTAATTGAATGGTGAACTGCGTTTGAAATCTTTTTCAGTGATTGGGGGGCCTTGCAGGTTTTCTCACCAGGCAAGACAGAATCATGATTCAAGAAAACAGGGAAGATAGCCATGTTATATAATGTGATAAAAGAGACAGAACCTGGTCAAATTTTTAAGAGAGGAGCATTCACTCCAAATAAATGTTGTTTAGGGATAATAAAAACAAGCACTGAAACAACTTTCTTTAATGGACCTTAATATTTGGCAATCATTTGACTGAAGATCATTACATCAACAAGGATTCTTTCATCATAAACATTTTCTTGTAGTCTTTGTGAGGTAGCATGAGAAGGAGATGTCACATTGGAGCGAATATGTTGCAAAAAGAAGGGGGATTAAAGATATGAGTTATGAAAGAAATAGATTCTGATTAAAACTAGAACAATGAAAGAGAAGGAAGGTTGCACATTTAAAAGAAAAAGAGGATATAAAAAAGAAGATTAATTCATATTCTAGACTTCTAGAGTAACTCTGAAACAAACTTTTGTTCCATTCATTTAACTCCAAAATTTAAATTACAATGGCTCTTGTTATAGACTCAATATATGGGCTTCAATTCCCTTTTATAGATTCCAACCTAGACCTGTAAGAGGTGAGAGAGGGGTAGTTTGGTCTCTTTACTTATTATTATAATGAATAGTTTAAGTTCAGTCCCACTTCATTAAGGACAGAACAGTCCTTTTGAAGTATCATAAAAATATAAATAAGTGGTTGACTGGYGGGATACCATCCTATTCTCTCCCAGTTGTTATTTCTATACTTCTCTCACCCTTCTCTTCACTTTCCCTCTTCCTTTAACAGTATACACCATTTACATAGTATCACTTGTGACCGGCAGTTGATGCTAGAAAGGGTTGTGGACTGATCACAGCAACCTATAATTGTGTTTAGAGTGGAGACCTGATCACAGGCCGGGCTCGGGCTTCAGGACAGGCCCATTCAAATTTTGGCAAAAGCCCAGCCCATGCCCAGCCCATGAACAGGTTAAGTATGGCCTATGATTACTTACATGTATGATTAAGGTCCGAGATCCATGGTAGAATTGGTGTTAAGAGTGCAGAATCAATTCTATGAGTTTTCTTCTGCAGATCAGTGTTTTAAAAGTGCAAGGCGCAAAAAAAGGCACAAGGGTCAATTTGTGCTTGAGGCGCAAGGCGCAAGGCGAAGTGTACACCTTTTTAAGCAAGGCTCAAAAAAATGATAAAAAATCAAAAAATGCCAAAAAATTCAAAAAAAATTATTAAGCATAATATTAATAAAAATATAAACTTAAATTTTAAAATAAAATGTTTAAAACACCTATTATCTAAAATTAAAATACATAAACATAACATGTAAAGCATGTTCAAATGAGAATTTAAAAATAAAATCAAACATATAAAACATTTTCAAGCATATAAACCCACAATCTCTTTTTTCTCAATTGCATTACTTCAAGTAGCTAATGTGACAAATTGCATTCCTGATTCTACGAGCCGCCTCTGTGCCATGCCCCTCGAGGCAAGCCCAAACAAGTCCTTGTTAGGGTCTTAAATTCTTAGTTCTCACACAAAAAATTATGATAGTTTTAATTGCTTATTGAGAAGATATTTTATTAGGATGAATGAATGAACAACATTACCAAAAAGGGGGTTCTCAAAAAAAGCAAAAAAGTGTCAAATTTTCAAAATCCACGCGCCTAGTCTGAGGTGCAAGGCACACCAGGTGTGCGCCTTTTGAAAGGGCTGCGCCTAGGACTTGGGCGAGGCGCCTTCCCTAAAATGTGCCTCGCCTGTGCACCTAGGTGCACCTAAGGCATGCCTTCACTGCTGCAGATTAGTATCTTCTCTCAATTGCAGCCTTGAGAAAGTTCTCTTTTCTCTTTTCTGCATAGTTACAGTGACCATATGTGACAGTGGAGTTGTTCGTCTGGTTATTTAGACCCTGCATTGATGTTATCAAAGAGGGAAATAGTCTGTACACCAATATTTTAAAAGCACAAGGCGCAAAAAAGGCGCAGGAGTCAATTTGCAATTGATGCACAAGGCAAGGCGCACGCCTTTTTGAAGCAAGGCATAAATTTATAAAAATATGCTGAAAATTAAAAAAAAAGGTCAGAAAATTCAAAAAAATATATTAAACATAATATTAATAAAAATATAAACTTAAATTTTAAATTAATGTTTTAAAAAACCTATTATTTAAAATTAAAATACAAAAACATAAGATGTAAAGCATATTCAAATGAGAATTTAAAAATAAAATCAAACATATAAAACATTTTCAAGCATTTAAAACCTCTAATCTCTTTTTTCACTCAATTGCATTACTTCACGTAGCTAATGTAATGTAAAACATATACATTCCTATTTCTACGAGCGGCCTTCGTGCCACGCCCCTCGAGGCAAGCCCAAACAAGTCCACGTTAGGTCTTAAATTCTTAGTTTTCACACAAAAAATAATGATTTTATAGTTTTAATTGCTTTTTAAGAAAACATTTTATTAGGATGAATGAATGAACAACATTACCAAATTGGGCTTGCCTTGAGAGGCGTGGCACAGGGGTCCAGGGCCTAGACGCTATGTTCAAAAAAAGCAAAACAGCGTCAAATTTTCAAAAGGCGCACGCCTGGGCTGAGGCGCAAGGCGCACGCCTGGGCTGAGGCGCAAGGCGCATGCCTAGGCGCACCAGGCGTGCGCCTTTTGAAAGGGCTGCACCTAGGACCCAGGCGAGGCGCATACCCTGAAATTCACCTCGCCTATGCGCCTAGGTACACCTTTTAATGGTGATCAGTTTTGAAGACTTGAGTATGTGGCAGCCAGTATGGAAAAGAGAACAATTAAGGAGATGGAATTGGTTTGCTACTGGTGTGAAGTCAACATTCTCCTTGTTCTTGTCGCTGGAATTGTTTTGGGAAGTGTTCATTACAGTGTGGATGATTAAACTAAGCTATGACAACATCTAGAAGGGGTAAGATTAAACCTAGTTGTTGGTTCCATGCGTGTTATTTGTAGTGCAGCATTGCATATGGCTTCCATTAAGTTCAATGGGGAGAATTACAAACCATGGGCCAAGTCTACGGAGGTCTTCCTTTCAGATGAAAGTTTTCTGGTATTAGATCTACAAGAAAGGAAAAAGAAATAGAAGAGAAAGGGATAATAAAAAGAGATTGGTCCAATGGGAAAGAGATTAAGGGTCTGTTCATTTCCTCTTAACTCTTATCTCTTAAGAGGAATCTTGCAACTTTAAGAGAAAAATGGTTGTTCGTTTCCTCTTATCTCTTATTTCTTAAAGTGCAA